AATTTTAACTGAAAATTTCCTTACGCTAAAACCAACCTTTGCAAACATTTTTTGTTGCAGCTGTTTTACCTCATATTCGTCTTCCTCTATGCCTACACACTGCTGGCCGGTCTCAGACCGAACTATGTATCGATCCTGGAAGTGATCATTGTCGTGGAGTTGATCAGCTTTCTGGTGGAAACAGTGTGTGAGGTAAGGCAACTCGACTATAAAATCTTCTCATTGCCAGAAGAAATCCGTTTTTCCGTTTGTTTGATCGAAGCGCAGAAAGTTTTTTTTGTTTTGAATGCATTTAACACACTTCGACCCAGTTCGATGCTCACACAACATAACTTAAAGTTTGCCGCTCTAACCATACTCGTTAACTACACTGTCAATAGGAAGAAGTGACAATGAGGGGAATAGATTGGCTTGGAATGGGAATAGTAACAAGATTTATTGATGTAATTGGATAAAGAACTATCGCGGAGTCTTCACCGTGCTTGCGAAATGCGCTCCACTCAAATACGGGCACCTGGTTTTAGGGAGTAGGATGGGTGGGGCATATTGAGCGGAGAAATGAGTGCGCAATGATCATGCTATTTATGAAAGCTACACGTGAAAGGTGGGGGGGAGGGTGGTGTTCGTTGACATCCGGTGAGGACACTGATGTACATTTTAATATCACCACTTATCCCTACTTTACCAACGGCTAGCGCGTGCGTGTCGGGGTTTTTCACTGACATAGGGCGAGGTCACTGATGTACACTTATTAACAGCATCACCAACCCCAACTGGATTAGCGGCGGCCGAGGAAAAATGGTAAGATTGCAGAAATTCACTCTACTGAAAATTTGTAAGTAAGCGGTTATTCCATTGTTAATTTGAAAAGACAGTTCGCTTATTAAGCTGACTTAAGTGGTGATTGTACACGTTGGCCTTTCGAGGACCCCTCTGCGGTACAATATCACCAATCCCCACTGAACAAACGGCTTGCGAGCGCAAAACTGGAAGATTGTGGATAATTAACGCTTCTTAAAATTTTGTAAGTAAGCGGTTATTGTACATATTGGACTTCTAAACACCCTCTTTGTAGTTCCCTGCCTGTAACAGTTAGCGGTTTGGGAGACTTTAGTAACTAGGATGACCCAATTGTAGCCTCAGTTGGGGTCAAACCCACGCAGTAGGAAAGAATTTTTGCGCAGCCAATACTCTACCATTGAGCCTCACCATGCGCGGCGAATTTAATCTCACTTGGATGGATTTGTTTGCCCAGCTTTACCGTACGTCTAGAATCCACCAATATGGACGCAGTAAGCTGACTGTCAGGCGGGGTTTCCAAAGTCAACATCTAGGATTCACCGGATGTACTACTAGGCTAATCTTCATTGGTAGGGATTTGGGGGATTTTAATAATGCCATTGCTGGCCCGCTGCTTACGCAGCAATGACCATCCTTCCAATTAGACACTCGTGCTGTTAAGGAATGCTTAGATATTTCTTTATTGAGTCATGGTGGACTGAATGCAGCGCAGAAAAACGCACTTGTGTTAAAAAATTCCGTTTTTTTCTTCCTCAAACAGTTAGTTCCCTTACTGGAGGGCGTTCGACGTTCCGGCTCATGCACGCAAACTCTAAATGAGCTGACACCCTTTTACAAATACGACTTAATCCTCAATGCACTGAATTTTGTTACCATCGTTCTCGCACTTGGTCGATATGTGCCCTTTGAGGCCATCAAGACGCTCTACGTGGTTTCTTGTAAGTCAGGCACTGCTTTTAAAAATTGCCCCTTAATCATACGTTTACTTCTCAGATGTTGTTGTTGTTATTGGATGAAATAGTATTTTGCTGTCAGTCATAT